AACAAGACAAAGCGCTTCTGGAATTCTTCAGGGAGGGGGCAGGCAGAGAGGCAAGCCTCATTTTCCCCTGCTTGTCTTTAAAAATGAAATTTCAAATAAACACAGGGGGCGAAAATCCTCAGCTCGGCTGGAAGAAGGAAACAGGTCTTCTTGGTCTGGAGCCTGGGAAGCCAGGTCGGTCTCCCTCTCACTGCACCTGCTACAGAAGAGGAAGGAGGCTTGTTTCCCTGCCTCCAGGCCCTTGCCCCTCTCCACCGCTGCGGGAGCCCAGCAGAGGACCAGATGCAACACCCACTTCCAGGAGCTCACAGCCAAGTGGGGTCAGAGCTGGCACGGACCTTACAACTCTCCAGTCTAATATCCCCACCTTACAGATGGGAAGACTGAGGCCAGGAGGCTGCCAGGTAGCAAGCAAGTGATGAGCAGGAGCTCCTGTGCACATCCAGCATCAGCAGCGTCCACAGAATGGAGGTAGAGAGGAACCACCAGGCGGTGGCTCAGGGGCCTGGCAGCTCCGGGGTGAGGCATCCCTATGCTCTGCCGGGCACCACCTGTGCTGAGCACACTCTAGATGTCCAGCCTGGCCAAGGAGCATGGAGGACCTCGGGACCTCCATTGTATTCCTGACTCACCCTTTACCCCCAACTCCGCCACCAGCTTTGATTGAGCCCCTACAAGAGCCATAGTGGGGCCCTGCACCAGGCAGTGGGTGAGACATGGCCTGCTCTCAGGAACCCCCAGTCGAGAGGGAGAGGGTCTGATGACGGCCTGCCCCTGCTGGGCGCACAGGCGACCAGCTAAGTAAGGAAGGGGCTTCTGCTCTAGCCTGGAAGATCAGGGAAGTCTGCTGGGGAATCGTGTAAACACATTTTGAAGGAAGAGAAGAGCCCTGGGGATAGACGAGGCCCAGGGTTGCCAGCCTGGAGAACAGCATGTGCCAAGGCCCAGAGTCCGCGGCAGGCAGTGACGAATGGGCTTGCAGCCTGGAGGGAGTGGGCTGAAGAGCCATCTGAACGAGCTGGGCGGAGGTGAGCAGGCTGAGGAAGCAGAGCCCAGCCGGAAACTAGGAAGAGCTACCGGCAATGGGGCTGCTGAACACATCCTCCCCACGGCCTGGGAGGGTGAGTAAGGCCTCGGGCACCTGTGCGTGTGTGTGTGTGCATGCATGCCTATGTGGGGGGTGAGCACACACGCTTGCACGTGTGTTGATACATGTGAGTGCATGCACGTATGAGTGGCTATGTGCAGCAATGTGCATGGATACATGTACATGCACATGTGAGGCATACATAGATTTATGCACCTATATGCATATAACAAGCGTACATGATTTTATGCAGGTGTGAGGATCGGGGTCTATGAACATGTATGTGGATAGTATCTGTGTGTGCATGAATATCTGTGTGTGTAGTGTGTGAAAGAACACACACAAGTGTGTTCATGCCTGCCTGCCTATGGAAGCACATGCATGCATGTGTGCACATCACATGTGCACATAGATATTCATACGAAAGCCCTATATAACTTACATGGCCGTGTGTATGCACCTATGTATGCAGCATGCGTGGATGTGTGTCCATATGTATGTGGTTACACCAGCATATGTGTGCACAAAAATGTGTGTACATGCATGTGTGTGTACATGTACACATGGGTATGTGTGTGCACATGAACAAGTGCATGCAGACACGTGTGTGCATGTGCACCTGAATACATGTGCACGTCTGTGTGTGTGCATGCATAGCTGCATGCAGGGAAGCAGGTCACGGAGACACACTCTCCTCCACCAGGACAGGCCACTCGTGGAACACAGAGCACTGCCCCCCAGGTGTGCACCTGGTAGGCATGCTTCCAGTTCCCTTCTCACAGCATTGGGGGCCAGGAGCCAATGTCCTACGGCTGTGTGGCCCTGGGGGGACCAACCATTCCTTCTGGGCTCCACTCACTCATCATGGGTGGGAGGAAGGGCCACCCTGCCTTGGCAGCTCCAAGAGGCTTCACTGTGATAGGGCTTTCCTTGTAAGATGTCCCACGCCCCTCCCCAGCGCCTTCCCCTGCCCCCTCCACCAGGGCAGCCTGAAGCCTTAAAACATCCTCCCTGTCATCCCTCTGGGTCCTGCCAAGCCCAGGCTGGGCCATCAGCAACTCACGGGGACAGGCAGCCTCTTCAGGCACATGCTGTTTCGCTGGTTACAGGATAATCAGGAGCAGTTTGTCAAGCCTCATTTTCAATGTCTGGGGTAAGAGGCCTCTCTAGCTCCTTTTGGAACAGCTGCAGTCCCTGGGGCCTCCCTCCCTGCACGCAGGCAGGTCTGCGTTCATACAGCGCAGCCCCGGAGCCCAGCCAAGGCCTTCTCTGCCCCGAGGACTCTTCAGAGACTCAGCCCTCGTCTCCCCCTCTGGGCCCTGACGCACAGGAGAGGTGCTGCCTCCTTCCTCCTCCTGGGTTGTGCCAGGGAGACGGTGCCAGCGCTCCTGAGGTCAAAAGGCCAGCCAGGCGTCCCCAGGGGCCTGAGTCACTGGGCCATCCAGGCACTCCGGATGTCCCAGCCTGGCCTGGAAAGCCACTTCCTGGGCAGTGGGAAGTCCTGTCTGCTTCGGGCCCCAGGTACTGTGTCCTTCTTCCTCCAAATTCTTCGGGCTGGCCATCCTTGATTACGAACATGTGAGATGTCCAGTGCAGCCAGGACCCTGGATGTCCCAACAACCCCAGGCACCCTCCCCCACAAAGATGAGAACCCACATTGTCAGGAGGAAGCCCACGTGGCTGGCCAGCTGCTGGGGGGAGGGAGCTCCCTAAAACCTACATCTGACTCTGGCTCCCCCTGCCTCTAGGACAAAACCCATCCCCCTACCCCAGAGGAAACAACCCATAGGGGCTTCTCACTTCCTAATAACTTCCCTCCATTCTCCAAAGGCAGCTCAGAGGTCACCTCCTCCAGGAAGCATTCCTTGACAACTCCACTCCCAGCCTGAAGGAAGAAGTCCAGGGCACTGACAGCATCCACTGCAGCATCACAGTGTGTGGTACCAACCATCCCAGGTGACAAAAGGCCCAGTACGGACCAGGGTGGGTGTATGCCAACCACGGAGGATGTGAATACAAGCACAATCTAGGCCTCCTTCCTGGACCAGGGGACCCTTTCCCAGGGATGGAGTCCTTCTACCTTCTCTGGGCCACATGCATCTCATATGCACTTATGGCTTTGCTCCCAAAAAGTGCACAAAAGCCCAGGACTCGCTAGGGTGGTTTGGCCCTTCTTGGGCAGTGTCACCATCCAGAAGCTGATTGCTGGCCTGGCCCTGGCCTGACCCCTCCTCCTCCATGTAAGGGGGCTGATGAGAATGCTGGGCTCCCAGTGGGCATCTCTGCTATGACACCAGTGCTGTGCCACATAAGACCCTTTGAACCTTTCCAGAGCTCAGAGAAGACAAAAGGGAGCCCCAAAGCCACACACATTTCCAGGCTTTGCTACCGGGATGCTTTAATCCTCCCCTGTACACCTTCGTAGAACCCAGAGGCACCCCATCCCCAGGCCCCCAGCCACAGGCCCCTACCCTTCCATCTGGGGACACAGGGAAAGCTGCTGGCCTGCCTGGGTGCTTTTCTGGACTGCGGGGAGGAAAGGCCCTCCCCTCCTCCTGGCAAGAAATGTCAGGCCTGGGAACTCCAGCCTGCTCCCCAGGGTCTGTCTCCCACAGACCTCGAGCTGCCTGGAGGTGGGAACCAGCGTTCTGCACACGACGGAGCGACAGTGCACGTTTGCCTAATGAATGCAGAGGGACATAAGGCAGGGGTAAGCCGGGGGTGGGGGAGATACTCCAACGGCTTGCCCCTAAGCCCGCAGGAATAAGGCACCCACGCAAACCCGCCCATCATCCGGGAAATTCAGTCTGGGTGTTTGTCAGAGGCGGTGATTTTGAACATCCCCCCCCCCCTTTAAAAGCAGGGGCACGGAGCATGGGAATTAAACTTCAATAATTGCCAACATGGATGCAGAGCCTGGGAGCCTGCCCAGGGCTTCCACTGGCACCGCCGTCATGATTCATGCTCCAGCAGCGCTTGGAAGTGGGCAGAGAAGGGAGCTGAGGCCGAGGGGCAGGGAGGTGGCTCTGCCCTGGAACCACCACCAGGGATCGCAGCCCGACCCGGACCCCGCAGGACCCCTGCGCACCCAGGCAGCATCGCGTCCTCCGCCAGGCAGCGAGGGGTTGGCTCTCCAATCAGGCGGCGGACCCCGCGCCGACCGGTGCTGCGCGCGAGTGTGCGCGCCCGCGTGTGCGTGCGCGTGTGCCCGGGGGAGGCTAGGAGGCTCTCGTCTTAGAAAGAGCAGGTTTCTGGAACTCACCGCCAGGCCATCCAGCGCTCAACCCCGTCCCGCAGACCGCAGTCGGCCCTGGAGGGGGCGCCCTCGCCGTGCGCGCGCGCCTCGCGCCACCGCCCTGGACTCCTCCCCGGCGCCGCGCCGGCAGGTTCGCCGAGGCGGCAGCGGGCTCCGGCTCCCGGGCCCGCTCCCCCCGGGCCGGCAGCGCTGGCCTGCCCGCCAGGCCGCCCCCGCCCGCCCGCGCCCCGCCCCGCGCGCCCGCCCCGCTGCGCAACTCTACCCAAGTTGGAAGCCGAGGCCGGGCGGCTGCACTCGCGCCGAGCGCACGGCGGCGGCGGCGAAGGAGGAGGCGGCGGCGGCGGCGGCGGCGGCTGCAGCGCAGCTAAGACGAGCGAGGCAGGCGAGGCGGAGCCCGCACGGCCGAACGCGGACCGCGGGGGGCGCCCGCGCCCGGAGCAGCGGGAGAAGGACGCGCGCCGGCGCCGGCGCCCTGCCCGGGAAAGTAAAGTTGGAGCCCGGGGCTGCGCGCGGGCGCTGGGGCCCGGAGGAGCGGCGGCCCGCGCCCCGGTGCGCCCAGCCCTAGCCGGCCGGATGGGAGGCGGAGCGCCCGGGCCGCCGCCGCCGCCGCCGCCGCCGCCTGCAGCCTGCGCCCCGGTCGGGCGCCGGGGCCGCGGGGCCGCTCGGGCACGCCCGCTCGGGCGCCGCATCACCCCGGGCTCGCGGCCGGGGCGCTCCCCGTGAGCTGGGCCGAGGGCGGGGCCGCGCGAGGACCCCGGGACCTGCCCCCCTCCCCCCCGCCGCCGCGTCGCCGCTCGCTCCGGGAGCCTCCTGCTCTGCACTTACGCGCGCGGCAGCTGCGGGGAGCCCGGCAGCCACGCTCCCCGGCGCGCCGCCCGCCCGCCGAGCCACCACGGCCGAAGGCCGGCTGCGGGGCGCCCCGGGAGCAGGCGGCGATGCAGGCGCCGACCCGGGCTGGGGGGCGCCCGAGCTGCCGCGGCTGCGCCCCGGCTCCGGGCGGGACCGCGTAGCTGGCGGGAGGACCATGGCGTCCCCGGCGCTGGCGGCGGCGCTGGCGGCGGCGGCGGCGGTGGCGGGCCCCAACGCGAGCGGCGCCGGCGAGGGGGGCAGCGGCGGGGCCGCCAACGCCTCGGGCGCCGCGCCGGGGGCCGCCTGGGGGCCGCCCCCGGGCCAGTACTCGCCGGGCGCCGTGGCGGGGCTGGCGGCCGTGGTGGGCTTCCTCATCGTCTTCACCGTGGTGGGCAACGTGCTGGTGGTGATCGCCGTGCTGACCAGCCGCGCGCTGCGTGCCCCGCAGAACCTCTTCCTGGTGTCCCTGGCCTCGGCTGACATCCTGGTGGCCACGCTGGTCATGCCCTTCTCGCTGGCCAACGAGCTCATGGCCTACTGGTACTTCGGGCAGGTGTGGTGCGGCGTGTACCTGGCGCTCGACGTGCTCTTCTGCACCTCGTCCATCGTGCACCTGTGCGCCATCAGCCTGGACCGCTACTGGTCGGTGACGCAGGCCGTCGAGTACAACCTGAAGCGCACGCCGCGCCGCGTCAAGGCGACCATCGTGGCCGTGTGGCTCATCTCGGCCGTCATCTCCTTCCCGCCGCTCGTCTCGCTCTACCGCCAGCCCGACAGTGCCGCCTACCCGCAGTGCGGCCTCAACGACGAGACGTGGTACATCCTGTCCTCCTGCATCGGCTCCTTCTTCGCGCCCTGCCTCATCATGGGCCTGGTCTACGCGCGCATCTACCGCGTGGCCAAGCTGCGCACCCGCACGCTCAGCGAGAAGCGCGCGCCCGCGGGCCCCGACGGCGCGTCCCCGACCACGGAGAACGGGCTGGGCGCGGCGGCCGGCCTGGGCGAGAACGGGCACTGCGCGCCCCCGCGCCGCCCGCGCGCCGACGTGGACCCGGAGGACAGCAGCGCGGCGGCCGAGCGGCGGCGGCGGCGGGGCGCGCTGCGGCGGGGCGGGCGGCGGCGCGCGGGGGGCGCGGGCGCAGGCGCGGACGGGGCCGGGCCGGGGCGGGGGCCGGGGCCGGGGCCCCCCGACGCGGGCGCCCTGGCCGCCGCCAAGTCCCCGGGCCCCGGCGGGCGTCTGTCCCGCGCCAGCTCGCGCTCCGTCGAGTTCTTCCTGTCGCGCCGGCGCCGGGCGCGCAGCAGCGTGTGCCGCCGCAAGGTGGCCCAGGCGCGCGAGAAGCGCTTCACCTTCGTGCTGGCCGTGGTCATGGGCGTGTTCGTGCTCTGCTGGTTCCCCTTCTTCTTCAGCTACAGCCTGTACGGAATCTGCCGCGAGGCCTGCCAGGTGCCCGACCCGCTCTTCAAGTTTTTCTTCTGGATCGGCTACTGCAACAGCTCGCTCAACCCGGTCATCTACACCGTCTTTAACCAGGACTTCCGGCGATCCTTTAAGCACATCCTCTTCCGACGGAGGAGAAGGGGCTTCAGGCAGTGAGCGGCGCGCCCGGCCCCGCGGAGACCGCGGATGGCTGGGGCCTGGGGAGGCTCGACAACCCCCCACCCCCAGGGGAAAACGGGGGCGGGGCAGCTGCCCCAGAGACCCGGGATCCATCTGCCTCCAGGGCGCAGGGGAGCGCACGGGCAGGGCAGGAGGGTGGGCTGAGAAGGAGCAGGCCCCCCCCCCCCGGGGGAGCGGGGAGGAGAGAGGGGCGACCCCTCTGCCTTCCCGTCTCAGCCAAGGGCTGCTTCTGGGCTTCAGCTCGGATAGGCTCTGGGGGAGCCTGCAGAGCTGCGGCTGGGGGGTCAGGGTCTTAGCAGAAGTGAGTGCAATCTCCCAAACTGGGAAGGAAGGAGCCCCCCCCCCCAACACACACCACCACCACCCTACCCGCCTCTGAGCAAGGGCTGACTTCCCCAGGACCTGGTGGGGGCGGCTGTCTTGGAAGAGGAGAGACGCAGTGACAATCTTTGGTTACTGAAAGTATTTACACGTTTGCCAAAAATGACAGCCAAAACAACCAAACTATTTTCTAAATAAACCTTTGTAATCTAAGTATTGGGTGCAGCTGTCAGTCCTTAAGCCCGCATGGTGGGAGGATAGGGGGGTACCTTCCAGACCTCACCCTGCCTACCCTGCCCCTGGGGTCCTGGAAGGGGGACACTCCGGGTCTCCAGATTCCAACATCCCCTCGTGCAGGAGAAGGAGGGTGTCTTTTTTTTTTTTTTAATGATACTAAAGGTAAAACTCTTGTGCTGTAATTGGCTGAGAGAGAAAAGAAACCAAGCACCCCCCCACACACACACACTGGGTCCCAGTTTAGATCCTGGAGGTCTGCCCTCCCTCCCTCATCCCTATCCCTGCTCCCCCCCACCCCCACATCCAGTTCCTGGCCTGGGAGCCCCTTCTCGGTGGAGGGAGGCAGGGCTCTCACGGGATCTGAGGCTCCACTTCCACCTGCCTCCCCAGTAACTTCAGATCAGTCCCCCACCTCTGAACACTTTGTGGGTTTGCCACTTTGGAGGAATTGCCATGAATGAGAGCTGCCTCCAAGGGAGCCCCATCCACAGATGGGGTGAGGTCCAGGCCAAGACAAGCTTCCAGATCCTTATTCTATACCAGAGACCTTTATCAATTTCTTGCTGTTTTTGGATATTGAGGGTCAAAAGCAGTGGGACCACCTGCATTGGCTGGGGACGGGGCTGGGGCCTCACCTGTCCTCCCGAAACCCCACTGCCCATGCAGCCAAGCCTTGCCTTCTTGCTCAGCTCCCCCTGCCCCCAGGTGTCTGTACTCACTCCACACTGAGGAGAGGTGGCTAGAAGAAGCTGGCATTAAGTGTAGCAGTTCTCCCCCCAGAGTCTTCCGGTCCCTATCACAGAGTCTGGAAACCTCTGGCTGATGGGGGCTCCTTCTGCAGATCCCTGCTGTGGCCGTGCTGTCCTCCTGTTGCTCCCTCTCTGGTTCTCCTTGGCCTTCCGTATGTACCCTCCCCTGCCCAGCCGAGCTCTTGCTTGGATCCCCATCCACCTGTCCTTGACCTAGGGTGGCCATGGGTGTGTCCTCTGAATGCCTCAGCCCCGGGTCCTGCCTTCATTCCTGAGTCACTGACCCCTGAATCAGGAGCCGGGTGGGGGGGGGCGGTGCTTAGCTGGCCTAACTTGTTGGGGCTGTCCCTTGGAGACCCCTCCTCTGCAGCTGCCCCACTCCCATCACCTCAAATTAGGTTTCTCAGGACACCCTACCTGGGACGAGCTCTCCAGGACCATGCCCACCCTCAATCATGGCTCAGTGACAGGTGGGGAAGCTGAGACCCAGAGCAATGGAGGGATGGAGGGGACACTGGGAATGGCCGGTCAAAACTGAGTGGGGCATCCCTGACCTGCTACCAGGCAGGGGCCTGACAGGCTGTCCATGTCATAGGCCGGGCTCTGTTGCAGCATTGCTGAGCTAGCTTGGACAAACCCCTGCCCTTCCTGGGCCTCAGCACCCCTTCTGTGAAGTGGTGGCTGGGGGGTGTGGGTTGTTGGAAGCTCAGGCCCTGCCGGGCTGGCCGATTCGTGGCCCAACCTGGGAGCTGAGTGGGGGGTTGGCGGGCCTGGAGAGGTGACCTTCCCCTGGAGACGGCATGGCTGGCTCTGGTATTATTCCCTCAGGGCTGCAGGGCCTCCTCCGTGCGGTGGGGTATCGACACCCCCACACAGGGCTTCTGGGGGACGCACTCCTGAGCCTGCAACAGGAGCACGCGGCGTGGAACGCGGCCCACGGAAGGATGTCAGCACACCCTGCTCTGTTCGCTCCTAATTGCGAGAATTGCACCTTTGGAGGCTGTCGCTGGGCCTGCCGGCGCCTGGTGCTTCATGCCCCATTCAGCCAGCAGATGTTCACCACTTGATGGTGATTGCCGCCTGGAGAGGCCGTCCTTTCAGCTGGATAAACAGAGACAGAACCTGGCTTCTCACCCTGCCCTGCCGCAGGGACACGGGCCAGTTGGCTTGCTCCGAGTCTCGCTGTCTTCCTCCGTGCGGTGCAGCAGGGATGTCGCCATCTCCCTGAGGGTGCCCGCGAGTGCCAGCTGCTCCCAGTGCGGCCAGGAAAATGTCTTGGGGGGGATTTCTCTAATGTGCAGAGTGGGGGCCCAGACCTCTGGCCACCTGTCCGCCGCTCGTCGGCAGGTCAGCCCACTGCGCCCTGTCCCTTCACATAGGGCTCTCTCGTCCGGGCATCTCCACATCTACACCAGGGTGCCAGGCTCACTGTCAACCCCGTTCCGTGGCTGAGGTTAAGGAGCCCTGGGCCCCACAGGTGTGAGGGACAGGACACCCCAGGAACCCACAAATGTCCAGCTCCAGAGCCTATGCCCTGAGCACCTGGCTCTGGTGTCCCGTGACCACGGCTGTTCTCTTCTGGGCCTTGCCACCAGAGAAGCATTTAACACTGCCTCCTTTCTGCCCAATGCTTCCCCTTGGGCTCTTGGGAGATTGCAGACAAAAAAAAAAAAAAAGAAATCCACAAAAAGATCAGGGACTGGGGGGCATCGGCCTGAACACTCTACCCAGGCCCAGCCCGGTGCAGATACAGTTCTAGCGAGCATACAGAGACATACATTGGTTTAAATTAATTCTTGAATTTTAATTCAATTGCTGAGCTTGTAGAGAAGGGGAAAAAGGAATAATCCAAGTAATCCATTACAGCTCAGTATGGAATTAAAAAAAAAATTACTCGAAGCAGGCAGAATTAATACTTTGGAAAAGCGACTCCACTCTTTGTGTTCTGCCCCCGGCTCCGGGGGTGGGGGCTGAGGGGTGGGAGAGAACGCGTTGCCGTGGCACTTGCTGGCGAGGAAACGGTCCTTCCTGGCTGTGCTGGCAGCCGGCTGTTTTTTATATCACATCCGTCGGCAGGACTCAAATATTCCAGAGCAGCCTGGGATCAAAACACATGCGCCTGCGGGCCCGTCTTGAGTCTGGTTGGGCAGCCGTGGCCAAGCCGAACGCTGCGCTCCTACCACCGCCAGCCGCCCCCACCCACGCAGACCCCCTCGTGCCAGGGAGAGGCAGGAGGCAAACAGGCTGAAGATGCTCTGGGCCCCGCCAGGGCGCCCACAGGCCCCACGGCTCCGTGTGTGATCACATGGGCATCTGGCCACGTGTCAGCCTGTGGCTCTCTGTGGGCCGGGATGAGCAGCCTCCCTGCTTGCCAGGGGACACCTGAGGGGTGCCCTGTGGATGTGGGTGGGGGGCTCACATGAATGGGATGGAGCGAGTCCCACGACAGGAGTCCGGATCCTCAGAGCTGAGGGTCTCCCACCCTGAGGACCCTGTGTCCCTGCTCTGGGGCCGCCACGAGTATCCAGGGGACCTCAAGCTGCCTCCCCCACTGCTAAGGGTCATCCTCCATTTGACCCGCTGGATTGTTGAGGGCCTCGCATGCTGGTGAGGTGGAGAAGCAGAGTGAGGGGGGTGGGGGTAGAAGCATCTGGTTTGCCAGAGAGGGACCTGAGCACTCATAGTGGGTCTGTTGGCTGCATGACCCCGACCCTATCTCCCACCAGCCATAAATAGGCTGCATGTCCTTTCCTGGCAGGGCCAGGGCAAGGGGGATGTGTGAAAGGGTCTGTGACCTGCAGGCGGGGTGCAGTGCCCTGCCTCTGAAGTCTGCCTGGGAAGCAGAGCCAACCGCCAACTCGGGGCCTAAAGAGAGCCCTGGGGACCAGAAACGTGTTTCTTTCTTGCCAAGAGGATTTGCGGCTGCTCCCAGTGAAAGCCTGGGGTACAATGGGATTATTATTGTCAAGATAAGGATCACCATGCAGGGCAGAGTGGGAATGCTGGACCAGAAAGCCCCGTTTAAGGGCATCCTGCTCTCCTGGTTGAGCACAAAATGTGGTCCGAGCTGCCTGGCAGTGATGGAGAGGAAGGAAACAGGATGCACGCTGGCTCTGCTGCCAGGTTGATGGGAGTCCCTGGAGATCCACAGGGCGGCTGTGCTTATGCTGGGTGCCATCCCCCAGGCCTCCCTGACACTGGGGAGCCTCCTCTAGAGGAGGGCTTTGAAGGCTGCAGAGACCTCAGGAGGGCATTCGAGCACCGTCTCTGTTGGGGCAGGGGCATAGTTGACTGCAGGTGCACCAGACTGGGCTATTTCCTGTGTATTCCACCCACCGACAGACAGCCCCGAGGCTGCTCCTCCCTGCGCCCAGCCCTAGCTGGGTGCAGGCAGGGACAGGGGTGGGGGGATGGGGGGATACGGCTGTGGAGCACCACAGTCACTGGGAGGCACTGGGGCGGCAGCAGCTGAGACTGGGCCCGCACAGCTGTGCTGCCTGGAGCCTGTACACCTGACGCTGGAAAGAGGCTTTGGGGCTGCAAAGCTGACCTGGTGCAAGCCACCGCAGGCGCTCCCAGCCACCCCCCCACCCCAGGGCCCCAGGACAAGCCCACACTGCCATCAGCTCTCAGGCTGTCATCTCTTCCACCCTCCACCCCTACCGGCTCCTCCCTTCAGACATCCTTTCCTGTGCTTTTTTTACTTACGCTTTGCCCTCTGCCAGGTGCACCTTTCCCGTCTTGACCTGAGTGGCCCTCACATGTCCCTCATGATTCAGACCAGGCTTCATCTCCAGAAAGCCCTTTGGAGCCACAGGCCCCCAAGGCTGGACCAGGGGCTGCCTCCTCGACCCGGGGTGGGAAACCCAGCATGGGAGGGGGTACAGGGAGGGTCCCAAGCACACAGATGGTGTGTTGTCCTGGCCAGGTGGTCAGGCAGGGCCTCCCTTATCCACAAAGCCTGACCAAGATCATCCCTGGATCCCGACCCCAAGACCCGCCAGGGTGTGCCCGCTGTGCCAGGCTCTGTGTCCCAGGCCATTCGGGGAGCACTGTGGTGGACGCCCCACAACTGGCTCTCAGGGAGTCGGGGAGAAACGTAGAGCAAGAGGCAGGCGCTCCAGCCTGGGCTCTGGGCTGCGGGGGATTTTCCATTGCACGTGCGCCCTGGCTGCTGAAGCCGCATGTTCAAATGTTGGTGGGCGGGTCCCCCCCCCAACCCGCCCG